TAGATAGATAGATAGATAGATAGATAGATAGATAGATAGATAGATAGGCAGATAGACAAATAGAAGGATGGACAGGCAGATAAATGAATGGATAGTTTTCTGAGTCGTCAGCCCCGCTTTCAGCCTCTGTAAAGAATCATGAAGACTGAGGGCTGTTCGTAGCAGCGGAGAGTGGCCAGCCCCCTCGGCGGCCCAGGCTGGTCGGAAACTCACCGTGCAGGCGCGGCAAGCCTCAGCCTTGCTGCAGTCTCCTGCTGCGGCCCGCCCAGTGCTGAGCCACCCGGCAGAGAAAGGACTTGAGGCAGGGACACCATGGCACTCAAATCCTGACCAGACCGCCGCCCGCACGGCCTTGGAGAGCTCCTGTCCCGCTGCTCAAATGTCCCTCTCTCCAAAGTGCTGCTCGCACAGCCTCCTCAGCCGTGTGGCCTATTTCTTGTGCTCAGCATTAACCAGTAATTTTTGGTAGTTAGAAAAGGCTGTCGGTGGGGGTTTTAGGAAATGCAGTTCCAACTCCGTTATTGATAATGTTATCACAAGCCAGCGAGAGAATGTGTATGTAGACAGTTCTGATAACGTATTTTGGATTTTCATAGAGGGCTATAGACAAAACAAGCATCGTTATTCCTGTTTGTTAGATAAGAAACTGAGGTTCAGAGACTAACTTCCCCAGGGTCACACAGTTGGAGTTTGCTGGGAAAGCAGGTTGAAAATTAAACATGAAGTGTGGAGCCAGCCACAGTGGCTCACGCCTTTAATCCCAGCACTCGGGAGGAGAGGCAGGAGTTCAAGGCCAGCCCGGTCTACAGAGAGTCCAGGACAGCCAAGGCTACACAGAGAAACCCTATCTTGAAAAAACCAACTCCCCACACCCCACACCCCCCCCACCTCCCCCAAAAAACCAGACTCGGAGTAAGCCAGGAAGGGTTTCCTGAGTTGCAGTGACGCAGGTGTTCTAGATGAGCCGTCAAGCTTTGGACAGCATTGGCCAGGGTGCTGCGTATGCCCAGCAGGCCCTCGAGGTGCACATTTGAACCATCTGAAGGTAATTTCAGCTTGGGGCAGAGGCAGGGTGAGAGCTGTTATTTGTCGCATGGTAACTCATTCCGCGTATACGTTCTCATCACGGAAAGCCAAACAAGCGCCCTGGCCAGGAGCTCTTTCTGCCTTAGGCCACACATTTGTGCCATCTGCTGGCCAGCAGCAGGGCTGTGGCATGAAGCTGGAGGCCTGAAGTGGCGCTGTCCTGTCAGCCAAAGCAGGGCTAGGCACGCAAGGCCCGGCCTGTCGGGGTCACACCGGGCCCGGCCTGTGGCGGCCGGGAGTCGTGGTGGTCCGTGGAGGATGGCGCCCGGCTGTGCCGCGGCCCCCAGGACCAGAAGGGTCACCCTGAGGCTCCCGGCAGACCCGGTGCTGGGTTCGGGAGGTGGTGGTCTGCCCGAGCCAGCGGGACGGACGGGCGGTGCTCCCGCCTGAGAACCCCGAGATCACCGTCGTGCCTCTGCCCTCCAGGCGCCCCGAGATCACCATCGTGGCAGCAGAGCCGCTGAGGCCGGCCTCGTGGTTCCCGGGAGCTCCGCCGCGGGGCCTGGGCTTCCCCGCCGCGCCCGTCGCGGGCCCCTGGAGACCCAGCGACCTGGTTCCTGCCGAGGTGGGTTGGTTCGTCAGCTGCCGAGGTTCTCCCCGGGCGCGCAGCCGGCTCTGCCCGCGGACGGAGGCAGCTTTCGCCCTCTCCTTTCCAGCTCCCGCCCTCCTACGAGCAAGTGATAAAAGAAATCCACCAGGTTCGGGTTAACGCGACCAACAACAACAACGCCGCCGTCCTCCCGAGGAGCACCATCACCTCTGCCACCCAGACCGACTTTCCGGAGCGGGCAGACAGCGGCCTGCCTCCAGGTGGGTGCGGTGACCGGCTCCCCGGGCCCGGGCCGCCTCCCCGGAGGGTAACGCAGTCGGCGAGCCTGCGCCCTGGGCTCTTCATGGGGTGCGGCAGCCCGGCGCCTCCCCGTCACCCCAAACTCAGAGCGGCCTCCGCGGGGTCCTTTGTTCCGGTGGGAAGTTTGGCCTCAGCGAGGGCCGCGTGGTGAGGGGCTGGGCGGGTGGTTCTCTGGGCTCCGGGGTGTGCGGCGGCAGGGATGAGCGACGCGGAGGGTCGAGCGCTGACGCTGCGGCGTCGCAGCCAGGGGAAACGCGTGGGACACGCGTGGGACGTCGGTGAGAGCCGGGGGTTGGGGGTGCTTTAACACCCAGCCGTGTCCTACGGACGCGTGCGCGGCCCGGGAAGCCGGCTCGGCGCCCGCTGTGTGTCTGGGTGCCCTCCGGTTCGCGGCCCGGCTTCTCTGAGGATGGCGCCGTCCTTCGCTCTGTCCCTCTGTCCTGCAGCACTCCCGGCGCCCCTCACGCCCCTCCAGCCCTCGCCAGCAGCCCCCGGCGACCCCCCCGCAAGCGTGGCCCCGTTAATAGTCTTCGAGATCTCTGAGGAGCAGAACTGCCCCGACCCCCCCACTGCGGCGAGATGTCCAGTGCCAAGACCAAGGTCAAAGAGCAACCTCAGGCCAGTCGCCAGGGACGCCCACAGTAAGGAGCGGGGTGCCCGGACGAGCCCCGCGCCGCCCGGGGAGGGCTGGCCGCCCGCGTGTCCGCTGGACGGCCCCCGCGGTGTGGATGGCCCCGCGGTGAGGGACGCGATGGACGCCGAGCACAGCCAAAGCAGTGTCGTTTCCAGGATCAAAGCCCTGGAGGGCCAGACCAGCACCGAGGGCCCGGGGCCGCCCCGCAGACCCGAGGCTGGCCCGCGCACGGTGCCCCCGAGGCCCGCGGCGCCCGCGGGGAAGCCGGTGGTGGCGCCCAAGCCGGCCGCGCACGGAGCCGCCGCTGCCCACGGAGCCGCGGGGGAGTGGGACTCGTGGGCCCGAGCCGGGCTCCCCGCGTGCTCGCCGCAGGACGCCGCAGGCGCGCCGGTTACCAAGCCCGAATTGCCAAAGACGTCAGCCCCGAGGAGCCGAGAGCCGGCGGGGAGGAAGGTCCCCACCCCCGCCCCGCGGCCCCTGCCGCCCCGGAGACGCCCCGACGCCCCCGCGGCCCCGGCCCGGCCCCCCGCCGCCTCGCCGGCCAGAGCGCCCCGGGCCCCCGGGGAGGCGCCGCCCAGCCCCCCGGCTCCCGCCCCGGCAGACGTGGACCTCATCAGCTTCGACGACGACGTCCTGCCCGCCCCGGCCAGCCCCGCCGAGGGGCCCGCTGCCCCTGACGCGCTTCTCGGTGAGTAAAACTGCGGTGTGCGCGCGGAGGTGGGCGCGCAGAGGTGGGGCGCAGAGCGCAGAGGTGGGGCGCAGAGGTGGGGCGCAGAGGTGTGTGCACGCGGCACAGAAGTGTGTGCATGCAGGTGTGTGTGCGCGCAGAGGTGTGTGTACACGGCGCAGAGGTATGGGCGCGCAGAAGTGTGTGCGCATGTTTCAAGATGGTATAGAAGGAAGAGGCATGCAGTACTCACTCCTGGAGACAGGAGACAGGAGAGGGAGCGCGTGGGCTGGGAGGTGGAGACCGCGGAGAGGACAGGTGCTAGAACACGTGCCTTTTATTGCGTGGCCCAGAGGGAGGCAGCGGAAGCTGGGGACCAGCCTGGGGTGGGCTGGCTTCCCCAGTCAGCAGCCTGGACTTCAGGCCTCGCCTTGACAGGATCTGGGGACACAGCGGGAGGAGGGTGAGATGGAGCTGTCTCTCAGTGGGGACTCATTTGCTGGACCCACAGGGGTCCTAGCCCGAGCCAGGGGGAGGACCAGCCCAGGTAGGGATCCTGCAAGAGTGTGTCAGAGCAGGGCCCGCGGCCGCAACACTTTCTCATACTCCTCAGAACATCTTGACGATGCCATGTCCATAGATAAAACTCAGCAATTGTACTGTGCCGCCACTGCCAGGGTAATGAAATTTCCCAGAGGCAGGGAAAATGTTTTCTTTCCCCACACTGTGCAGACAGCAAAGCTTATCTTGTCTGTGAGGTAAAGTTTATCTTTATATCAAGATTTCTGTACCAAGCCGGTCCACACGTCACTCATAAAAGTCCTTTCTACTGTTGTTTACTTACTTGGATGAAATTTAATAGTGTTTTCCAGATTTTAACTGCTCTCTTATAAATATTAAGCATGCCTCAGAATGGCATAGAACACATGTTCTCAAAGCCAAAGCAGGAAAGCTAGGTTTAGTCACAGCACTCAAGGCTGATTTTTTTTTTTAATTTATTTACTTTACATCCTGATTGTAGGCTCCTCTGGGTCCCACCCTCCCTTCCTCTTCCAACCCATCCTCCTCACCTAGTTCTCAGAAAGGGAGAGCTCTCCTCTCTGACCGACTGGCCACAGACTATCAAGTCGTCTCTTCAGGACTGCCTGCATCCTCTTCCTCTGGCCTGGCAAGAAGGGTCTGCCCAGGAGAGGTGATCAAGGAGCTGGCACCAGAGTCCATGTCAGAGGCAGCCTCTGCTCCCCTTACTAGGGTACCCACATGGAGACTGAGCTACCATGGGCTACATCTGAGCAGGGGGTCTAGGTCCTTGGTTGATGCATCAGACTCTGCAGGCCCCGTGGACCCAGATTTGTTGGCTTTGTTGTTCTCCTTGTAGAGCTCCTGTCCCTCCAGGTCTTTCTATCATCTCTCCCTTCTTCCATAAGATTCCCTGTGCTCTGCCCAAAGTTTGGCTGTGAGTCTCAGCATCTGCTTTGGTCCCCTGCTGAGCAAAGTATTTTAGAGGACATCTATGGAAGGCTCTCGTCTTGTTCCCTGTCTTCTCCTACTTTAGGTCTCTATTCTGTTTGCCCTTCTGAATGAGAACTAAGAGCCCCCCCCCCCTAGGGTCAAGGCTGATTTAGGAAGATCACAAGTTCAGGAACAACCTGGGCTACACCTGAGAATTGTCTCAAACAAACAAACAAACAAAAAAATCTTGTATACCATGTTTATTGTACATGGAAGCAGACATATTTATTAAATATTTATTATGTACAAAACATCCTAACTGCCTGTGGCATATAAAGCAAGAAGAACGTCTCTTATCCACAAAAAGCAGAAGGGAAATGATAGACTACCTTCTGCTTACGCGATGATCCCAACACTGCTGAGCACTGTCTGTTTAACGTATACAGTGCAGACTACTTTGGTTTAATACAGAAACCCTTCATGTGGCACCGCTGGCCTCACCTCACAGATGAAGTAAACAGACTGAAGGACTATCAATGCCTCCTGTCATAAAGCTTTCCCCGGCTGAGGCTCATGGTGTGTGTGAGTGTGTGAGTGTGTGTGTGTGTGTGTGTGTGTGTGTGTGTGTGTGTCTGTTTTGGTTTGTGTATCATTGGGGGTCAAGCCCAAGGTCTCGTTTATCATGCTAGCAACTGATCTACATTCCCAGGCCCCAAATACAGTCATTTTATTCTAAGTCTTGTTTGCTTTTCATGGTATGTTTGATACCCAACATTTTCAAGACTCCCTAAACAAACCAAAACCTTAATATTATTGCTAATATCATTTTCTTATCTAAACCTTCTTATGTAACAAGTGTCGGAGAAGGGCAGGAAACAAACCAAACCAACAGAGGTTGCCTTTTTAGAACCTGCTTAGTGCCGTGGGGATGGAAACTTGGTTAAGATGTGAGAATTTCTTCTGTATCATAAAGCAGTGACATTTCCTCGATGGCACTGTCATTATAAGTAAAGAAAGGCTTGGTTTAGGGTCTCTGGGACCCTTGCCTAATTGGTCCAGGCGTCAGCCAGAAACTGGGAGCAGAACACAGAAGACAACTCAGAAATACATCTTTGCACCTCTTTGTCTTCCCTCAAAAATAATGAAAAAACAATAAAAGTGTTCATTGAATGAAGTTACCTTATTAATCTCAGGAAATATAGATCAGAAAATACTGACACTATGGAAACATTGTAAAGATTAGAAAAATGATTAAAGGAAAACTCATAAAGCAAACAGTTTAATATTGGATTCACTTCATAGGTAGAATGCCTTCAGGTTAAGGTAATAAAGCCAAGAAGTGTTAGTGATTCCACTTCACACCCTTACAAATCATACCCCGTCATCAAAAAAAAAAGGGAGGGGCAGAATGCTTCTGTGAACTTCATTACACAGACTGGAATAATAGTTTAGCGGTGAATCTCTGCTCTTAACAGAACTCCAGGGAGAGAAATGACAGAAGCAGCCAGGGACAGGGAGCTAATTACAAACATTTTCCTGCAGACAGGTTTGCATGGAAGAGTTCTGTAACCTCAGGGTTTCGTCAGCCCAGTAGTGAAGACCGGGCCTGGGTGTGAAGGCATCTGCTTGTTTGGCCACACGTGTTGAGTGATTGGTGTTGATATAAGAAAGTAAAAAGAAGGCAGAATGAACCCTGCAAGTAAAAATGCAGGAAAGTGCTGTCGACTTCCCTAGATTTGGACAGTGCTCTTGTCTGGCGACGCATGAGCAGTCTCTGGTAGAATCATCGCCAGGAGCTGGCTAACCACGTGTAGATCGCAGGATCTGAGGCCCGAGGCAAACTGTGAGGTGTCCATCAGCTCATGTACAGACAGCTTGAGGCACAGTTCAGCATGTCAGGATCACGCCTGGGCTCTAGGCTAAGAGCGTTAGGGGTAACGCGTGCCCGTGTGTGTTAGCGTGCGCATATGTGTTAGCACGCACATAGGTGTTACTTTCCTATTGCTGTGACAAAACACTATGGCCAAAAAGGCAACTTGCAGAGGAAAGAATTTATTTGGTCTTATGGTTTTGGAGGGTTAGGGTCCGTGACGATCATGGCAGGGAGCATGGCAGCAGGCAGGCAGGCAGGCAGGCATGGCGCTGGAGCAGCGACAGGAGCCCACATCTTAGCCTGACAGTGGGAGGCAGAGAGGCACACACACTGGGAATGGCTACTTTGAAACCGGAAAGCCCGGCCCCAGCGACACACCTCCTTAACAAGACCACACCCCCAATCCTTCCCAAACAGTTCCACCAACTGGGGATCAAATATTCAAATATATGAGCCCGTGATGGTCATTGTCACTCAAACCAGCCCAGATGTCCACACGCAGAGGCCGCGGGAAATAACTTTCAGTGGGCTGCTTACGTGACTTACGGCATGGCACGGTTCGGTGCAATGCCATGTAGCACCTAGACAGCAGACAGACCCGTTGTTCCCTGGCATGGCCAACCTTCACGTGTTTTGTTCATTTCTTTCACTGCACAGGGCATCGGGACATATCTGAGCCCGGAGAGTGCTTAGCGTGCGTGGAGTGTTTAAACCTGACGTGCTGCCATGTGCTGACATTCAGCACTCAGGAGGAACGGGAGGGTCTGGAGGTCAGGGCCACGCTCAGCTACTTAGTGAGTTCAGCTCAGAAGATGTATCAAAGTACGCTAAACTATGTCTCACTGTGTTAGCGCTCCCCAGACACTAAGACCCCATCTCAAGGCTTAAAGGTGAGACTGCCATCCCTGGCATTTTAGTTACTGGCCGAGTTAACGTCTGGAAGGACTCTGAGAACAACAGGAGCTGGGTGGAAGGCCTGCGGCTCATTCTGTGTTAAGAGCCATTTAAATTTCGCAAGTGCTACCTTTAGCAAAGCGGCTCATCTTTACTTGTCTTTTTCTCTTTTCTTCTTTTTCCGTCAAGACTTCTTCCTTATGTAGCTCAGGCTGCCATCAAACTTGCCATCCTCCTGCCTCACCTCACAGCTGCTGGAATCACAGAATATGCCCCGTGTCCCTCCCAACCACCTTTTCTTCCTTAACTTCTGTTCATCATCGGGTCTGAGCTGTGTGTGCATGCATGTGAATTCCCCAAGGTGCCCAATAGTTTTTATTTTTAGAGCTTATCATTGTTTATTAACATTACTGCTGCCTTGGGAAAGCAATGAGATTTCCTGACAAAATCTCTTCATATTAATAGTCTAATATATTATCTAATAGCTTCACCTCTAAAACTATAGTCATTTTCCAAACCATTGAAAAATACATGATACTTAAAAAAAAAAAAAACCGAGCCAGGCGTGGTGGGCACACCTGTAATCCCAGCACTCAGGAGGCAGAGGCAGGTGGATCTCTGTGAGTTCGAGGACAGCCTGGTCTACAAAGCTACACAGAGAAACCCTGTCTCGAAAAACAACAAAGGCTCGCTCTTACAGTGTATTAAAAATATTTGCCGTCTTTTTTTTTAATAATGAAAGTATTTTACAGTTTACTCGGGCTTTCTCCCATTGTTTCCCCTGGGTTTTGCTTTTGTTTCATTTCTAGAAAAAAAAATAATATATACTCCCATAAAATTCACTTCCAGTGTTTATTTCTGGAGCAAATTTCTAAAAATAAGGACCAAAGGTCTGAACAGGTCCAGGAACGTGCCACAAATGCCAGGCCACAAATGCCAAGGGAGGTGCCATGTTCGCTCTGTGTGTTGCCCACACTCAGGAAAACCAGGAAGCTTCAGCACCCAAGGGTGTGGCTCATCTGAGGGGGCGTGCCTGGCATGCTTGCTTCCACCATCGTGGGGACAGAGCCCAGGACTTTGGTCCTCCTTCCTTCTCCATGGTTGGGACGGACGTGGACGGTGCAGTTCATCCCCACTGGTGCTGGCCTGCCCCTGACCCTGACCTGCCCCTGGCCCTGGCCTGCCCCTGGCGCTCAGCCCAGCACTGCC